ATATATTATTACATAGAGAGATCAACAAGAATCCCCATGTGCTCCCCAACCTGTCTCTGGGTTTCCATCTGTGGGATGCCTTTCCCAGTGACCTAAGGACCTTGGAGAGCTCCCTTCTGTGGCTCTCTGCAGGAAGACAGACTATCCCTAACTACAACCACTAGGCACAGAACAAAACTGTTGCCGTCATACCAGGCACCACATCAGTATCTTCGACCAAGACTGGAGCTCTCCTGGGGTGCTACAGAAGGCCACGGATAAGGAGTTTGTGAATTCTGGGGAGAGAAATATTTGGGTCTCCCCTAATGCCACTCTCTTACATCTCATCAAAGGGAAAGGTGGACACTGAGCTTACATATCCATGAGAGCTATAAGCAGATCCTAGGGAATTCCCTGTATCATGAAATGATCATGATGGTGACGATGATGATGATTATCACTATCATTATTTTGGAAAGAAAGTCTCGCTCTGTCATCCAGGTTGGAGTGCAGTGGTACAATCACGGCTCACTGCTGTCTCGACCTCCTGGCTCAGGTGATCCTCCCGACTCAGCCTCCCAAGGATCTGGGACTACAGATGCATGCCACCACACCCGGCTAATTTTGCTGTTGTTGTACAGAAGGGGTCTCACTATGTTGCCCAGGCTGGAGTGCAGTGGCATGTGGTATGATCATGGCTCACTGCAGTCTTAACCTCCTGAGCTCAAGTGATCCTCCTGCCTCAGCCTCCCAAGGAACTGTGACTACAGGCGCATGCCACTACACCTGGCTAAATTTTGTATTTTGCATTTTTTTTTTTTTTTGGTAGAGACAGGGTCTCACTATGTTGCCCAGCCTGGCCTTGAACTCCTGGCCCCAAGTGATCCTCCTGCCTTGGCCTCCCAAAGTGCTGAGATTACATGTGTGTATCCAGTCAACATTATTAACAATAGCAAGGATGGGGATAAAGGAGAAGGAGCAGTGGATGCTGTGAGCCTCAACCCAGAGTCCTATCCATGGCTAATGCCTCCCTCCCCCAGCTGCTGAGACTAGTGACTGCTGACCATTCACAGCTGTCAGGATTACAGGAGGCCAGGAATTCCACAACACAGAGAAGTACCCCATCCTAGAATATGACTTTCTCAGCGGCATCCAGAGACCAGGCTCACACCTATAATCCCAGCACTTTGGGAGACCAAGGCGGGTGAATCACCTGAGGTTGGGAGTTTGAGACCAGCCTGACCAACATAGAGAAACCCTGTCTCTACTAAAACTACAAAATTAGCTGGGCATGGTGGCGGGCACCTGTAATCCCAGCTACTTGGGAGGCTGAGGTAGGAGAATCACTTGAACCCGGAAGGCGGAGGTTGTGGTGAGCCAAGATCGCACCATTGCACATCAGCCTGGACAACAAGAGCAAAACTGTCTCAAAAACAAACAAACAAAACAAAACAGACCAATGACTGTCAGATGCTAGAGATCTAAAGAAAGAATTTACTAAAGAATTTTCTTTCACACCAAAAGAGAGAAATATCTGGTTTCCAACACTTCCTCAAGACAGTGAACCCTTTCCAATACACAGAATACTTTTACTTTAGTAAATTCTGGATTGACCTTTTTTTCTTCTTACTTGCTGGGCCGCAAGATGGAAGAATTGTGGAGCCTGCCCTTCAAATTCTGCCACTGCACTCCAGCCTGGGTGACAGAGCAAGACTCGGTCTCAAAAATAAAAATAAATAATAAACGTATACATTTTGATGGGTTTGGACATATGCACACACCTGTGGTGCCACCACCATAATCGAGGTACTAAACATATTTATTCATGTCATGTGCTTTTCAAAGTACAAGGACCAGGTCAGGAGCAGTGGTGGCTCATGCCTATAATCCCAGCACTTTGGGAGGCCAAGGCAGGAAGACTGCTTGAGGCCAGGAGTTCAAAACCAGCCTAGGCAAAATAGTAATAGCCTGTCTCTATAAAAATGAAAAGAAAAAGAAAAAAATAATACAGATTAGCTGGGCATGGTGGCATACACCTGTAATCCCAGCTACTCAGGAGGTTGAGGTGAGCAGATCACTTGAGGCTAGGAGCCTAAGACCAGCTGGGCAACATAGCAAGACCCTATGTCTACAAAAATTTTAAAATTTAGCTGGGTGTGGTGGTGTGCACCTGTAGTCCTAGCTATTCAGGAGGCTGAGGCAGGAGGATCACTTGAGTCCAGGAATTCGAGGCTACCATGAGCCATGATGGAGCTACTGCACTCCAGCCTGAGCAACAGAGAGATTCTGTCTCAAAAATATACATGTATTATTACTGTCCATCAAATTAGAAATTAGACGGTAAATTAAACTTTCTAACAATACTTTTTATAAGTACACATCCATCTTTGTCTATATATTAAATCTGATTTATTTGGTTGGGTCCAGTGGCTCACTCCTGTAATCCCAGCACTTTGGGAGGCCGAGGCAGGTGGATCACCTGAGGTCAGAAGTTCAAGACCAGCCTGAGCACCATGGTAAAACCCTGCCTCTTTTTAAAAAATATAAAAAAAGAAAAAGACTACATAATATGACTATGTGTTAGTAGATGAGTGATTAAATAATTCTGGTACAGCAATTAATTGGAATACCATACCACTTATTTAAGACTTAGCTAAACACTCATATCTACCTGGAAAAAAGTCCACAGTCTGTTAATTTTTTAAAGTAATCTCCAGAATAATTAGTATGTAGTATCATAGTTTTTTTTTGTAAAACTATTTTAAAACTCTAAATATAGGAATATATATTGTGATAAAATGCTTTTTCTAGTACTTATGTAGCAAATTATATTATTACATGCATAAGTTTAATTTTTCATAGATGGACTATAGTAATGGCCACCTCAAGCTCATATTAGAGAAGGGAAACGGAGTTTTATTTTATTTTATTTTATTTTTTAATTTTTGAGATGGAGTTTCACTCGCTGCCCAGTCTGGAGGTGCAATGGCGTGATCTCAGCTCACTGCGACCTCCGCAACCCAGGTTCAAGCAATTCTCCTGCCTGAGCCTCCCAAGTAGTTGAGATTACAAGCATGTGCCACTACACCTGGCTAATTTTTTTGTTATTTTAGTAGAAACGGGGTTTCACCATGTTGACCAGGCTGGTTTCGAGCTCCTGACCTCAGGTGATCCGCCCGCCTTAGCCTCCCAAAGTGCTGGGATTACAGGCATGAGCCACCGTGCCTGGCCAGGAAAGGGAATTTTGAATTGTGTTTTATATACTCTATATTTGTGAGAATAAGTACATATTATTTTACTAAATTTAAAAATCCAATTAAAAACTTCTAAATAAAACAACATTAAGAACTACGAAATATGAAAAATTTAGCACACAGGCCACCATATGTTTCCTCACCTATAAATAGTGATAATAACAATTTCCTTGTAGGTCTCTGTGAAAGTATTTACGGATAATGTATGTAAAACTGTTTATTACCATGCAGGCTGGAAAGTAATGTCCCATTCATTTGTCCACTAGGATGGCCATAGGGTGTTTGAGTTTTTTTCCTTTTAATTATTGAATTCCAGAGTTTTCAAACACATTCTATTGTTGTAAAGTGAATCATATTCATATTTTTTCCTAGGGTTTAGCGATTCCTTTTGCATATAAATTCAGGCTGTATGTGTTCACACATAGATCTCAAATAATACCTTAATTTTCACAATGAAAAGCTCTCTTCCTCACCCTGTAGCCTGGCTCCTAGAATCAACTTTTTTTTTTTCCTGATATTAATTACATATTTGTAAGTTAGGTATTTATACTGCTTTTTCATTTATCAGCTTTAGACTATATTGAATTACTTTCTTCTCCAAAACAATTAGCACATAACTCTTACCTACTGTAAAATTAATTTTCCTCACCAAACATAATCATTTAAGGAATCTGGATAAATTAAAATTCAATGTTTATCATTTTATGACATCAATATTTACCATTTGTAGCATCTAAACCTTAGCCAGAGATGTAACAAGTAGTATGTTAATTTTTTTTCATTTTTTCTTTTGATTTCTTAAATTTTAAATTTTCCTTTTTTATTTCTTCCTATGAATCCAACACCTATTTTCTCCACCAGAAATGTAATTCTCTTTTCAATAGATCCAGATGTGCACGAGACAATTCATCAGCTTTGGCTTTTACTTGGAGACATCCCTCCCTAGCTCTCCCTCCCCTCGTCCCTCTCTGGATGGGAGAAAGATGCATACATGATCCCATTTTTGAAAGAAATTAGGAAGCTCAAAATCACAAAAAAGGCTGAGTGTGGTGTGGTTCACACCTGTAATCTCAGCACTTTGGGAGGCCGAGGTGCGAGAGAATGACTTGAGGCCATGAGTTCTACACCATCCTGGGCAATACAGACCTCCTCTCTACAAAAAAATACAAAATAGCCAGGCTTGGTGGTGTGGGAGGCCCAGGCGGAAGGATGGCTTGAGCTCAGGAGGTCAAGGCTGCAGTGAGCGACGATTGCACCACTGCACTCCAGTCTGGGCCAGAGTGAGACCCTGTCTCAAAACAAATGACGCACACAAGCCCTAAATGTGTGGCTATATCATTTTAACAGGCAGTGAATGTGGAGAAAGGACTGAAGAAAACTTCATTTTGCATCCTGCTACCTGAACAGTTTTAAAATCCACAAAAAGCCCTGCACCCAAAAACTGACCTCCCCAAAGTCTTGCCCTCTCAGCCTCTTAGCTCAACCCCATTCCATGCCCCATCACTACCTTATCTGGTCCACATGCTCTCGCACCAAACCTGGTACTAACCCGCAAGACCCGCCCATTAAACTTAATGCCCGCCCACAACCCCGCCCCCTAACAGTCTCTGAACTGTTAGCCCCGCCCGCATGCCTGGTACCGCCCCAGCCCCGCCCCAGAGTTGGTTCCCGCCCCCGGAACTAGCCCACGCCCACACTCAGCCCCGCCTCCAAGCCTGGTACCGCCCGCGGCCCCGCTCAGGAGCTAGTTCCGCCCCCAACCCTACCACAGACTCGCGCCAGGACAACCCTGCCTCCGCGGCTATCCCTGGTCAGGGCCCAACCTTGTTCTGTTAATAACTAAGCAAACTGGAACACCTCGGCCTGAGGTTTGCGTGCGCGGCCGCTGCTCCCGCCCGCCCGCTGCACATGCAGCCTGAACCCGGGGCCCCCGGACACGCCACATTTTGGGTTGGGACCAGCTGGAACCGGAAGTGGAGGTGCAGCGCCGCTAGCCGGGAACCGGAAGCGGAATTGCAGATGTGTAACCGGAAGCGGAATTGCAGGTGCGTACTGTGAGAAGAGCTGCGTTTGCAGCGACTGGGAGTCTTTTGGTCGCCGCGAGAGGTGCTGGGTTCGGTGAGTCTGAGTCCAGAGAGGGGTCCCAGCCGCGGGCCCTGCGTCCCTCCCGGGAGCTGGGTTTCCGCCCCTGAGGCCTTGGGCTGTACCCTCAGTTCAGCCCGAAGCTGCTGTTTCCTCCGGTGTCGGGGCCCCGCGCCCCTGTCGCCCTCACACGGGGCGATTATGCGCCCCAGGGGACTTTTGGCTATGGTTGGAGACGGTTTTCAATGTCACAAAAAGGGGTTTAGGAGGGACTATGTTACTACCGTAATCTAGAGGGTGGAGACCAGGGATTCTAGCAGCTTAGCATCCTGCAGCGCATAAAGCAGCCGCCGCCAGCCAAGACTCATCCAGCCCCAAATGTCAGTAGTGCCCAGGTTGGGAAACCCTGATGGAGGGCATTAAAATCTCTGCAGTCCTAAATGCACTGTAGAAATTATTTAGAATTCAGCTGAGTCACTTATAAGACCTAAAGTTACGAATTAGAGCATCTGGAGTCACCATAAAATCTCCAGGCAAATGAGTTAAGCAAGTCAAATGCAAACAGCTTTAAGCCCCTTGTCCCATTTTAGGGAGCAAATGGCCGGATAGGAATCTGGGGAATTCAGGCACAGCCAGTAGCCTGGGTTCTTATTATTATTTAAATCTTTTCTTTCTTTCTTTCTTTCTTTTTTTTTTTTTTTTTTTTTTTTTGAGACGGAGTCTTGCTCTGTCGCCCAGGCTGGAGTGCGGTGGTGCGATCTCGGCTCACTGCAAGCTCCGCCCCCTGGATTCACGCCATTCTCCTGCCTCAGCCTCCCGAGTAGCGGGGACTACAGGTGCCCGCCACCACGCCCGGCTAATTTTTTTGTATTTTTAGTAGAGACGGGATTTCACTGTGTTAGCCAGGATGATCTCGATCTCCTGACCTTGTGATCCACATGCCTCGGCCTCCCAAAGTGCTGGGATTACAGGCTTGAGCCACCGCGCCCGGCCGTAGTTTTTTATTTTTTTAAGGCTGTTTCTCTGTTGTCCAGGCTGCAGTATAGTGATGCGGTCTCGATCTCCTGACCTCATGATCCGCCCAACTCGGCCTCCCAAAGTGCTGGGATTACAGGCGTGAGCCACGAGTGAGGGTACTTTAAAAATTATTTGTTTGACCGCTTCTGTTCAAGAGAAAGATACTAAGGGGTGTGTGACAGTGTGTATGTAAATAAGTCAGTAAATACAGCTATATGCAAATCAGTACACAAAATAAACATGTAAACACTATTTAAAAATTTTTTTTTCAACCTTCCAAGATATCTCAATTTTTCTTTTATTTTTTTCTTTTCCTAACTGGCCTGCCAGCCTGTAGACTTGTGCTGTATAATAAGGTAGCTGCTAAGCCGGTGCGGTGGTGCACCCTTGTAATTCCTTGTAATTATGTAATCCCAGCACTTTGGGAGGCTGAGGCGGGCGGATCACCTGAGGTCGGGAGTTCGAGACCAGCCCCACCAACATCGTGAAACCCTGTCTCTACTAAAAATACAAAATTAGCTGTGCATGGTGGCCAGCACCTGTAGTCCCAGCTACACGGGAGGCTGAGGCAGGAAAATTGCTTGAACCTGGGAGGCGGAGGTTGCAGTGAGCCGAGATTGCGCCACTGTGCTCCAGCCTGGGCGACACAGCGAGACTCTTTCTCAAAAATAAATAAATAAATAAGGTAGCTGTTAGTCCATGTGGTTGTTTAAATTTAAATTTAGACCAATTAAGATTCAATAAAATTGGCTGGGCACTGTAGCTGACACCTGTAATCCTAGCACTTTGGGAGGTCAACGCAGGTAGATCACGAGGTCAGGAGATTGAGGTCATCCTGGCTAACACAGTGAAACCCCGTTTCTACTAAAAATACAAAAAATTAGCCGGGTGTGTGGACGCCTGTAGTCCCAGCTACTTGGGAGGCTAAGGCAGGAGAATGGCGTGAAGTTGGGAGGCAGAGCTTGCAGTGAGCCGAGATTGCGCCACTGCACTCCAGCCTGCGCCACAGAGCAAGATTCCATCTCAAAAAAAAAAAAAGATTCAATAAAATTTTAAATTCAGGTTCTCAGTCGCACTAACCGCATTTCAAGTGCTTGACAGCGACATGTGGCTAATGCCCCTATTGAAAAGCGAAGATTAAGATCATTTCCATCATCCCAGAAAGCCCTGCTGGGCGGCATTGTCCTAGTCTCTTCCATTTGTCCGTTGCAATGAAGCCAGAATGGCTGTTGTAAAAGATAATTTGTGGCCGGGAGTGGTGGCTCAAGCCTGTCTGTAATCCCAGAACTTTGGGAGGCCGAGGTGGGTGGATCACCTGAGGTCAGGCGTTCAAGACCAGCCGGGCCAACATGGTGAAACCCCGTCTGTACTAAAAATACAGAAATTAGCTGGGTGTGGTGACTTTTGAGCCCGGGTGGTGGAGGTTGCAGTGAGCCAAGATGGCACCACTACACTCCAGCCTGGGCAACAGAGCGAGACTGCATCTCAATAAAAATAAATAAATAAAAGTAAAAATACAGCTGGGTGCAGTGGCTCACACCTGTAATTCCAGTACTTTGGGAGACTGAGGTGGGCAGATCATCTTAGGTCAGGAGTTTGAGACCAGCCTGGCCAACATGGCAAAACCCCGTCTCTACTAAAAATACAAAAAGTAGCCGGGCGTGGTGGTGGGCGCCTGTAATCCCAGCTACTTGGGAGGCTGAGGCAGGAGAATCGCTTGAACCCGGGAAGCAGAGGTTGCAGTGAGCCGAGATCTCACCATTGTACTCCAGCCTGGGTGACAGAGCAAGACTGTCTCAAAATAAATAAAGATAAATTTGCTTCAGTCACTCCCCTGCCTGAAAAGCCTTTGGTGGCTCTCTACTGCCTCTCACCTTCAAACTCCCCACCACTCTTTATAATACCTTTTGAAATACAACCTTTCCCCTGTACTCTGGCCCCTTATTTGTCCACATGCTCCAAACTGCAAACTTGGCTGCCTCAGCAGCTTGCTTTCCTGCCTCTGCACGTGCACTTCCCACTGAGCAAGACCCTACCTCGACTCTCAAGACTCAACTCAAATGTTTTTAGTGTTTTTCCTTCCCAGGCTTCCCAGTCCGCTTCCTCCCAGATCCTGGGTTGGATGCCACGCGCCCCTCTGCCATAGCACATATCACTCTGACATGCAGCCATAGGTCTGTGTGTGTGTCCCACTCCTGGAAAGCCAGTTCTTAGATGACAGGGATCTTCCTCCCCTCCATCTGCAGCACCCGGCTTGGGGCAGGCATCAATAAAACATGAATGAAGGGTCAACGTTGGGACCCGAGGGCTGGAGAAGGGATTCGAGAGGAATAACTGGGTGAGGAAATGCTATGCCTCGTTTCGACTTGGGAGGGAAAAGGGGGCGGACCCACCAGGGGCTCACCTATGCAAAATTCTCTTTTCTACCGTTTGTGCAACACAGCTGCTGGAAGACCCCACTCATAAACAACTAGAAATATGTGGAACTGCAGAGAAATAATACTTTCTTTTTTTTTTTGAGATGGAGTCTCACTCTTTCACCCAGGCTGGAGTGCAGTGGCATGATCTGGGCTCACTGCAACCTTTGCCTCCCGGGTTCAAGCGATTCTCCTGCCTCAGCCTCCCAAGTAGCTGGGATTACAGGCGCCCACCACCATGCCCAGCTAATTTTTTAAATATATTTTTAGTAGAGACAAGGTTTCACCAACTTGGCCAGGCTGTTCTCAAACTGCTGATCTCAGGTGATCTGCCTGCCTCGGCCTCCCAAAGTGCTGGGATTAGAGGCGTGAGCCACTGCGGCCGGCTATAATACAGATTTTCTTGCATGTCATAATACTAAAACTCAGGCTTTTACATATAAGTACAAATATATAAACTTTTCACATGTATATGTGAATTTTGGGGGTGTTCTTATTCTGCCAACCACAGAGACCAAATGTCAGAGACACTTGGCAGCTGTATTCATTGGGGGGTGGGGACTGTGGGGGGTGGGGGGTGGGGACTGTGAGGCTGCAGGCAGGAATGGGAAAGAGCCGCCCATCTCTGCTTGGCTCCAAGTACCAGCGAACAGCTGGCCTGTGGGGAATGGCTCTCCATTCACTCCTCTCCCAATCCTTCCCTCCCCGGACATTGGGGGTATGGGGGTCACCCAGGATAAATTCCCTGGGCAAGAGATCTAGGACGCCAGGGCCTGAATGCTGCATCTCAGGACAAATTCCTAGAGAGACTGAGTGGCCCTGCCTTCCATGAATAGCAAGCATCATCCACCCTCTACAGCTCTGTTTTGTCTCCCTGGCCCAAACTCACTCTTACAGTCTCTAACTCCAGACCGTGCCCCCTCGCCAACCCCTCCCACACGCACACCCTTGGCCGCTTTCTTTTTTTGTTTGTTGTTTTTTTAGACGGAGTATCGCTCTGCTGCCCAGGCTGGAGTGCATATGGCGCGATCCTGGCTCACTACAAGCTCCACCTCCCAGGTTCATGCCATTCTCCCGCCTCAGCCTCCTGAGCAGCTGGGATTACAGGTGTGCGCCACCACGCCCGGCTAATTTTTAATATATTTTTTAGTAGAGATGGGGTTTCACCATATTAGCCAGAATGGTCTCGATCTCCTGATCTCACGATCCGCCCGCCTTGGCCTCCCAAAGTGCTGGGATTACAGGCGGGAGCCACCACGCCCCACCGGCCACTTTCATCTTTGTGTGTATACACATGCGCGCGCACACACACACACACACACACACAGCCCTTCTTTTCTCGTAAAAAAGGAAACATTCCATATATACTATTTGGTACTTTTTTTCCCCTTAAATTTACTGAGGATAATAATCTATTGATATCTAGACATCTCTCTTTTTTTAACGGGTGCACTATAATGCCACAGTGAATAATCTTACACGACTTTTATATTTGTGTATCTTACAGATCGATTCTTAGAAGTTGTAGGAATCTAGGGTCTCTGATAGAAAATGGCTGGAGCTCTGCTGGGCTGGCATGAGAACAGGGGATGGGGAGGAGGAAATCAACTGAAATGAGAAGGTGGAAACCAGGAGGGAGGGTGGCCAAGGCAGGGCACAGGCTGGAGAGGGGGTGACCGATTCAGGGCACAGGCTAGAGAGGGGGTGACTGAGGCAGGGCATGGGCTGAGAGGGGGTGACCGAGGCAGGGCACGGGCTGGAGAAGGGGTGACCGAGGCAGGACATGGGCTGACGGGGATGACTGAGGCAAAGCACGGGCTGGAGAGGGGGTGGCCCAGGCAGAGTGTTCCCATTTCTTCCAGAGTGCTTTCCTGAGAGCAATGCAGGAATAAGGGAGGAGCGTCCTGCTTCCTGGCTGCCCTGTTGCTGTCGGAGTCACAGGATGGCAGCCATCATCCTGCCCCCGACTGCTGGTGAGTTGTGGGGTCTCAGAGTCCAGGCTTGAAAGGCTCTGACCCACAGCATGGGACGGGAGTGAGTTGGGCAGAGCAGGTGAGGCAGGAGTGGAGTCCCAGGGCCCAGAGGTCCTCAGTGTCTGACCGGGCGGCTCTCGGGATTTGGGACTTAGGCGTTTGGGTGTCTGTGGATGTCGCCTCTGTGGTGAATGTGCTGGAACTTTTGAATTCTCCCTTTAGTTCTTTCTGTGAACCTGATAAAAACACAGTGACACCCTTGGAACTTCAGTTTCCTCATCTGTGAGGTGGGAATAATCCCTTCCCCAAGTGCAGTCAGACCTTGAGCCCTGTTACCTGGCGTGGATGCCGCAGGGCCGTGCTCTGGTTTCCTTGGATTGCTGTTGCTGGGTGTTCGCGTGCAGTAGAGGTGGCTGCTTTGTGGGTGACTGTGTATGCTTGGGGACATGGTCAATTGCAGGCAGGTGGGGGAGCTTCCAGGTGTGTGAGTGGACACAGGGCTGGTCTGGATTCCTGGGACTCGTTTGTCCTCCTCCAGCTCTGTCTTCCCCGTTCCCGGCCTCTCAGCGAGAAGGACACACGGAGGGCAGAGAGCTGGTTAATGAGCACCTGACAAGCTGGCTAAAGGTAAGTTAGATGTTCCTTTTTCCAAATCATTATTCCTTCAGCCAGAAGGTTGGACTCAATGCCTTTCAGTGGCCTGGACCTTCACGGCCAAACTCGCTCCTCAGGCATCCCAGGATCTCTGAGCGAGGGCTGTCCAGAAAATACAAGGGTGTGTCAATGTTTACCGCAGGTTCAGAGCTCCCTCCAGGGTCGCTAAGTACATCACGTGCTCCTGCGAGTTTTAAGGGAAAGCCAGGTAAAGACATGACAATGTTCTAAGCCCAAGCGATTAATGAAGGCTGTACGGAAATCATTCATTCACTTACCAAGTATTTCTCTAATTTCTGCTGTGTCACGGGCCCGTACTCCCCTGGAGATTGAGGGAAACGAGATCACAGGAGCACCCAGTCTGAGAGAAAAGACAGCTGCTCTGTGGTACTGGGCACTGGACCTGGGAGTGGCCTAAGGAGACAAGCATTGAGGGCTGAGCTCAGAAGCCAGGGAGGGGAGCTTGGAACCCCACCCCACATCTCGTGCTCAGGTTTCCCTAGCCATGGCTCTGTTCTGTTGGCCCCTCTTCCTGTGCACGTTGGTGCGGGTGGTCCTTGGCTAAGCCGTGATGTCTGCAATGCCTTAGGGCTTGGTGACCTTCGAGGATGTGGCCGTGGAGTTCACCCAGGAGGAGTGGACGCTGTTGGGCCCTGCCCAAAGGACACTGTACAGGGACGTGATGCTGGAGAACTTCAGGAACCTGGCCTCGCTGGGTAAGCCTGACATCATTCCTGCATTTATTTAATGACTCAGGAAGTAGGTCTTTCTTTTTTTTTTAATTGAGGTAACACAGGACACAAAAGTCACCATTTAAACTATTTTAAAGTGTCCAATTCGGTGGTTTTTCGTAGGTTCACCGTGTAGTACGACCATCACCACTAATTCCAGAGCATAGCTGTCATGCTGGAAATAAGCCCCGTAGTCATGAAGTGGTCTCTCCCCATTTCTCCCTCCCGAACACCTTGGCAGCCACTAACCTTCCTGTCTCTATAGATGTGTCTCTTCTTTTTGAGGAGGTGGTTTTCAGACAGTGTCTCCCTCCATCGCCCAGGCTATAGTGCAGTGGCGCAATCCTGAGTAGCTGGGACCACAGGTGCGCATCACCACGCCCAGCTAATTTGCTTATTTTTTGTAGAGATAGGATCTTGCTCTGTTGCCCAGGCTGGTCTCAAACTCCTGGGCTCAGGTGATCCTCCTGCCTTAGCTTCCCAGAGTGCTGGGATTACAGATGTGAGCTACCATTCCTGGCCCTATTCTTGCCATTTTATATAAATGGGATCATATAAAATGTGGTCTTTTGTGTCTCACTTTTTGCTTAGCATAATGTTTTCTGGGTTTTTTTTTGAGATGGAGTTTTGCTCTGTTGCCCAGGCTAGAGTGCAGTGGTGTAATCTCAGCTCACTGCAACCTCCACCTTCCAGGTTCAATCTGTTCTCCTGCCTCAGCTTCCCAAATAGCTGGGACTAAAGGCATGAACCACCACGCCCGGCAAATTTTTGTATTTTTAATAGAGATGGGGTTTCACCATGATGGCCAGGCTGGGACTCCTGGCCTCAAGTGATCCACCCACCTCGGCCTCCCAGAGTGCTGGGATTACAGGCATGAGCCACCACGCCCAGTTGTTTTCGAAGTATAGCCGTGTTGTAGCACATATCAGAACTTCATTCTTTTTATGGTTAAATATTGTTCCATTATGTGTATATACCACTTTTTATAAATCAGTTCATCAGCTGATGGAAATTTAGCCTGTTCTCATGTTTTGGCTAATGTGGGTAGTGTTGCTATAAACATTCATGTACAAGATTTTGCTTGAGCACCTGTTTTCTCTTGGGTATTTAACTAGGAGTGGAACTGCTGGGTCCTGTGTTAATTCTATGTTTAATGTGTTGAGGAACCTCCAAACTTTTACATTCCTACTAGCAATGCATGAGACCAGCAATGTATTACAATTTCTCTGCATCCTTACCAACATTCGCCTCTTTTCCTTTTTTAAAAAAAATTATGATAGCCATTCTTGTGGGTGTCTGTCTCATTGTGGTTTTTATTTCTATTCCCTAAAAAAAAATGATGAGATTGGCCATCTTTTCTTGTGCTTGTTGGCCATTTATACATCTTTTTTGAAGAAATGTTCGTTCAAGTGCTTTTTCCATTTGCGGGGCATTGTTTGCCTTTTTGTTACTGGGTTGTAAAAGTTCTTTATATGTTCTGGATCCTCGACCCTTATGAGATACATAATTTTCAGATATTTCCTCCCATTCAGTGGATTGCCTTTTCACTATCTTGAATGACAGTTTTGCGGGAGATAGAACTCTTGGTTGATATTTTTCTTTCAGTACTTGGCGTATGTCATCATCCTACTGGCTTGTGGCCTCTATGGTTTTTGATGAGAAATCAGCTGTTAATCTTGTACATGATGACTTATTTCTGCCTTGCTATTTTTCAGGATATTCTCTTTGTCTTTGGCTTTTGACCGTTTAATTTTAAGGTATCTCAGTGTGAGTTTTTTTGAGTGTATCCTATTTGGAGATCCTTAAGCTGCTTTGATGTATAGACTTGTAATTTCCATCAAATTTGGGAATGTTTGGCCATTATTTTTCCATATATTCCTTTTTTATTATTATTATTTAGAGTCTCACTCTGTCACCCAGGCTGGAGTGCACTGGCACGATCTCAGCTCACCGCAACCTCCGCCTCCTGGGTTAAAGCAGTTCTCCCTGCCTCAGCCTCCTGAGTAGCTGGGATGACAAACGCACACCACCACACCTGGCTAATTTTTGTATTTTTAGTAGAGACAAGGTTTCACCATGTTGGCCAGGCTGGTCTCGAACTCCTGATCTCAGGTGATCCTTCCACCTCGGCCTCCCAAAGTCTTGTAATTAGAGTGTGACCCACCGCACCTTGCCAATTTTTCCATATATTCCTTCTGCTCCTTTCTCTGTCTCCTCTCCAGTAGCAACTCCCATTATGTGTATTGTGATGTTTGATGGTGTCTTCTGGGTCTCTTAGGCTCTGCTCATTTTTTTCCCTTTATTTTTAATTTCTGCTCTACCAATCAGGCAATCTTAATTGAGCTGGCATCAAGTTCACTGATTGTTTCTTCTGCCTGATCAAGTCTTCTGAGGAACCCCTCTAGTAAATTTTTCATTTCAGATAATATATATTTTTCAATTTAAAAATTCCTGTTTGGCTCCTTTTTATAATTTCCATCTCTTTATGCTTTTCTCTACTTGGTGAGAATTCATTCTGATGGTTTTCATTAGTTCTTTGTACACAGTTTCCATTAACTCCTTGAGCATATTTGAAATAGTTGACGTGAAGTCGTTGCCTAATAAATCCAATGACTGGGTTTCCTTGTGGATAATTTCTGTTCATTTCTTTTTTCCTATAATGCAGTTTCATTTCTTTGTTTCTTTTTTTTTTCTTTTTTTTTTTCGGAGACAGAGTCTCACTCTGATGCCCAGGCTGGAGTGCAGTGACACAATCTTGGCTCACTGCAAGCTTTGCCTCCCGGGTTCACGCCATTCTCTTGCCTCAGCCTCCCGAGTAGCTGGGACTACAGGTGCCCACCACCACTCCTGGCTAATTTTTGTATATTTAGTAGAGACGGGATTTCACTGTGTTACCCAGGATGGTCTCGATCTCCTGAAATCGTGATCCACCCACCTCAGCCTCCCAAAGTGTTGGGATTACAGGCATAAGCCACCACACCCAGCCCATTTTTTAATTTCTTTACATGCCTCATAATTTATTTGCTGAAAACTACTTTCAGAATATTACAATATGGCAGTTCTTTAAATCTGATTTTCCCCCCTCCCCAAGGTTTGTTGTAGTTGGTATTATTTCTTAGTTTAGTGACATTTCTGAACTAATTTTGTAATGTCTGTATTTGTCATATGTGGCCACTGAAGTCTCTGTTCTATTAGCTTAATGTTCAGCTTGGGATTAATTTGCCAGAGATTTTCTTAAATACCTGGAACCCAAAAGATAACTAGTCTTTACCAATGGATCTGAATTACATGTTGAAGCATGCCTTCAAAACTCAGCTAAAGCACTTTACAACTCTGACTTAGCCTTCACTTCCTTCTTATGCAGAGCCTGAAGGTCAGTCAAAGGTAAGGGCTTGGTGCCTTCTCAGATCTTCTCTGAGCATGTGTTCATCCCTGGGTATGAACATGGCCTTCCAGAAATGTGTGGAGGGCTGGGCACAGTGGCTCACACCTGTAATGCCAGAACTTTGGGAGGCCGAGGTGGGCGGATCACCTGAGGTCAGGAGTTCGAGACCAGCCTGGTCAAGATGGTGAAACCGTATCTTTACTAAAAATACAAAAAAATCATCCAGGCGTGGTGGCACATGCCTATAATCCCAGCTACTTGGGAGGATGAGGCAGGAGAATTGCTTGAACCCAGGAGGCAGAGGTTGCAGTGAGCCGAGATCATGCCACTGTACTCTAGCCTGGGCAACAGAGTAAGACTCCATCTTGTGGGGGTGATAAAAAAGGTGTGGAAAGATGCTCTACTCCCCCAAGCATCTTTTTCTCCTCCCAGGTTTTTTGGTTAGTCTTGTTTGCTTCACAGTTTTCCCTTGCCCCATTCAGCAGTGGCTCATTTGCCTTTAGATGTGTTGGGATACACTTCCCTCTCCACCCTCCACCTTCCATAGGTGTAGCCTCTTCAGACCTGGGAGAGTTTGGAGTTACACAAATAAAGGGAAGCCCTTTGATCCAGCCCATCAGGGAGCCAGCAGACAGGTCAGAACAAACAACCACAGGTTTTTGAGAATAAGGTGCATTCTATTCCCTTCAGCACTAGAAACACAGGTTGTTGTCTTCAAGGCAAAATGGGGAATAGAGTGTGTGGCTAGAGTCAGTTAAAATGTCACAAATCTCTCTTACCCTGATTCGGCTGTTTGTCTCGATTAGGCATTCTCCTGTGGCTGTAAACTTTTGATAACATTCAAGAGCTCCAATGAAGCTGATTCTGTTTTTGCCCATTTACTTACTGTTTCTATGAAGGGATGAAGTTGGGGAGTTCCCTACTCCACTACTTTCACCGACATCACTTCTTTTAAGTCCTTCGTAAGCACCTCTGTTCCTAGGTCTGTGCTGGGATGTGGGTGTACAGTGAAGAATGCAACATGGTCCCCACCCTCATGGAGCTGTCTGTCTAATGCTATCCACTATGAAATGAAGATCTCCTCCTTTCCCTGACTGTATATTCTCTGTAGTTAAATCTTCTGGGCTTCCAGATTCTGTATTTAAACCTGGGCAGGGGCTCCTGGGACCAGTTATCCTGCAACCACCCTACATATTGCTTGTGATTTTGTGTATGTGTGTGAAAGACAGTTGCTATATTTCTTCAATTTTGGCATAATTATTCCTCTGCTCCTGAAGTCACACCTCTTCCCCTTCAGAACTGATTTCAGTTTCGTGGGGAGCTTGTCTGCTGCACAGTCCTCCTACATCATGCGTCTTTTCTCCATGTACAGGGAACCAAGTTGATAAACCTGGTCTGATCTCCCAGCTGGAGCAAGAAGATAAAGTGATGACAGAAGAGAGAGGAATTCTCCCAGGTACGTGTCCAGGTGAGCACCAGGTGGATATAAGTCCTTGTGAGGAACGGCTCTGGCCAGGGACCTAGGAGTTGGGGGTATTATAATACATTAGGAAATACCAGTCAGAGAACTGTGTAAATGCCCCTTTTCTCAAGAAGGCCAAGAACATTTGGTCTGAGCCCCCCCATGTACTTTCATGACTTTAACTTTCTGTCATCTCGTACTTTACTTGGGCCTCAGGGGAGAAAAAAAAGACATGTCTCTTTTTCTGACATTTAAGTCTCCTGTGAACTCTTTGATCAGTTTCAGTCCACCTTGCCTTCTTGACAGTTCCTTCATTCTGTCCACATCAATCTCAGTCTTCCTAGAGTCTTTCTTAAACATTGCCTAAAATTGTCACAGTCATATCTTTCATGGAATCCCTTCTCAAAAACCCTCACCTCTCAGATTCTGCCTTCACCCATGTATGCATTTTACCATTTCACCATCAACTTAAATTTGCCTCTTTTCTATCAACTTAAATTTCTTTTTAACTTGTTTCAGATGTGGAGAATCCACTTAAAGCCAAAGGGTTAACTCCTAAGCTGCATGTTTTTCGAAAAGAACAATCTAGAAATATGAAAATGGTAAGACTAACATGGGTGATTTCTGTTTTTTTTTCATGGTAGGAGAATGCCCTACGTGAGAAAAGCCACAAAGACTGGCTTTGTTGGCCAGGCACAGTGGCTCATGCCTGTAATCCCAATAGTTTGGAAAGCCGAGGCGGGTGTATCACAAGGTCAGGTGTTGGAAACCAGCCTGGCCAATATGGTGAAACCCCATCTCTACAAAAAATGCAAAAAAAAAAAAAAAAAATTAGCCGGGTGTGGTGGTGCACGCCTGTAATCCCAAATACCTGGGAGGCTGAAGCAGAAGAATCACTTGAACCCTGGAGGCGGAGCTTGCAGTGAGCCAAGATCGCGCCACTGCACTCCAGCCTGGGCGACAGAGCGAGACTCTGTCTCAAAAAAAAAGAAAGAGTGGCTTTATTGAATAGTTATTAAAGGAAAGTGTCATTTTTCCAAGAGAAAGTAGTGTCTCCGAAGAGATACTGTAAAATTATTTTGAATTTGGAAAAAAGCATTAGTTAGCCCCAAATGTGTTTTTCCTGAGAATTCCCACAAGTAAGTATTTCCAGTAATCTGAGTCAGATATTGGGTATTTGAAAAAGAAATTAGCCTTAAATTTATCAGAAAATACTCTGTGAATATGATAAAGACTTACAGAAAGAATCCATCTTTTTTAAATGCTAAGAATTCAAACTGACAGAAGCAATGTACCAGCACTCATAGTGGCAAAAACATTAATTCCAATACTATGATACACAACAGAATTCCTGGGGGAGGAAATCCTCTGACAGCATTCAATGTTAAAAATATTATAAATGGTACTTATTAGTCATCTCTTAATCGACAGGAGAGGAATCATCTCGGAGCAGAACTCAACGAATGTAATCAGTGTTTTAAAGTCTTCAGCACAAAATCTTCCCTTACGCAGCACAAGAGGATTCACACTGGAGAAAAACCCTACAACTGCAGTGAATGTGGGAAATTCTACAGCAGCAAATCTTACGTTACTGTTCATAAGAGAATCCACAATGGGGAGAAACCCTACAAATGCAGTGACTGTGGGAAAACCTTCAGCAATTTGTCATACCTCAGACCACACCTGAGAATTCACACCGGAGAAAAACCCTACAAATGTATCCGGTGTTGTCGTGAGTTCCGCACTCAGTCAATCTTCACAAGGCACAAGAGAGTTCATACAGGAGAGAGTCAGTATGTATGTAATCAGTGTGGAAAGGCTTTCAGCACAGGGTCATCTCTTTCTTTGCACTATAGCATTCATACAGGGGAGAACCCTTACGAATGCCACAATTGTGGGAAAACATTCAGGAGGAGCTCGAATCTGACACAGCACGTAAGAACTCATACTGGAGAAAAGCCCTACAAATGTAATGAGTGTGGGATGTCCTTCACCAGTAGCTTTTCTCTTACAGTTCACAGGAGAATACATAATGGAGAGAAATCCTATGAGTGCAGTGACTGTGGAAAAGCCTTTAATGTTCTCTCATCTGTTAAGAAACACAGGAGAACTCACAGTGGAAAAAAACCCTATGAATGTAATTATTGTGGGAGATTCTTCACAAGTAACGGGTACCTTTCTGTGCATATGAGAAAGCATATTAGGCAGATGTGAATTCAATAACTGCGAAAAGCATTCATTGATCTTTCATGCCTCAGATAACATGAAAGAACTCTTCACCAGATGTATGAATTACCTGCTACTGTATAACGTGTAACAAATTACCCCACAAAATTGTGTGGCTTCAAACAACAAACACTTATCTCACAGTTTTTGTAGGTCAGGAATTCAGAAACAACGTAGCTCCATAGTTCAGGATCTCTCAAGAGGTTACAGTCCAGATGTCAGCAGAACCATAATCATCCAGAATTTGTACTGGTGAAGGGACCACTTCCAGATGGCTCACTCACATGCCTGACAAGTGCATGCTAGCTGTTTCCGAGGGACCTGCACTTCCAAACCACGTAGGCCTCTCAACAGGGCTAAATTTCTTTATGGAAGCGACTTCTCCCCAAAGCCAGTGATCTAAAGGAGGCAACACAGAAAGCATAATGTCTTTTATGACGTAGCTTCAGAGAGAGCTGTTTTCATGTCCCTGTTACATTGGTCACACACACCAATCCTGATACAATGTGGAAGAACACCACACGAGGTATGAACAGTAGACATTCGGAACCATCTGGAAAGCTTGCCATGAAATCAGTGGAGATAATTTTTTATTTTATAATATTATTTTATTTTTTTAATTTTTTTTTTTTTTTGGAGACAGGGTTTCGTCTGTGCCCAGGCTGTAGTGCAATGGTGCAGTCTTGGCTTATTACAACCTCCACCTCCTGGGCTCAAGGGATCCTCCCATCTCAGCCTCCCAAGTAGCTGGGACTGTAGGCATGCACCACCATGCCTGTCTAGTTTTTGTAAAGATGGGGATTCACCATGTTACCCAGGCTGCCCTCAAAGTCCTGGGCTCAAGTGATCCACCTGCCTCAGCCTCCCGAAGTGCTTGGAATACAGGAACGAGCCACCACTCCCAGCCAGAACTTCTTAAGATAAAGGATGAGGGAATGTTTTCAGTGATACCTCTTACGTTAGGAAAAATATGAAAATGTTCCTTGGATACAGTACCCATGAGTGTATTATTTTCAGAAAATCCTTCAGTGATTCCTCCCTTTACACATGAGAGAACTCATAGAGGAAACCCTAGGAACGTGATTGATGTTAGGATGCCTCACCTCTTACCTGAGTGGCCACATGATAACTTAGAACAAAAGGTGTAAGTGCTGTGTATGCAGAACTACCTTCATCAGTGTCTCATTTGTAGGTTGGGCCACTAGCTCATTAATTTTCCATCTTTTAAGTATTTATGGCTATAGCTGTCCTGAAAATCTTATTACCTTATTTTATATACAGTATATCTATTATAATTCTAAAACATCAATACATCAAATATTCAGAAAGGTATTTCCAAACAGCTCCTGAGTGATCTAGTTTGTTATAACAGAAATTAGAGGCCGGGCATGGTGGCTCATGCCTGTAATGCCAGCATTTTGGGAGGCCAAGGCGGGCGGATCACAAGGTCAGGAGATCAAGACCATCCTGGCTAACTCGGTGAAACCCTGTCTCTACTAAAAATACAAAAAATTAGCCAGGCGTGGTGGTGGGCGCCTGTAGTCACAAAGCATAGAGTTAAAAGAGCCTTTTTTTTTTTTTTCACTACGATGATAAAAATCACAGAATGGCTCATGCCTGTAATCCCATCACTTTGGGAGGCCGAGGCAGGAGGATCACCTGAGGTGGGGAGTTCGAGACCAGCCTGACCAACATGGAGAAACCCTGTCTCTCCTAGAAATACAAAATTAGCCAAGCGTATTGGCACATGCCTGTAATCCCAGCTACTCAGAAGGCCGAGGCAGGAGAAGCGCTTGCAACTGGGAGGTGGAGGTTGCAATGAGCCAAGGTTGACATTGCACTCCAGCCTCGACAACAAGAGCGAAACTCGGTCTCAAAAAAAATTAAAAACAGAAGTGCCGAAAAAATCACAATGATTTGAGTTCTTCAAAAACCTTTGATTGGCTGCATTGGCTCTGTTCTGCATATTACTAGACTTCTTACATGATCACAAGTAACCACTAATTGGTTAAAACCAAAGTGAGTGTGTGTGTGTGTGTGTGTGTGTGTGTGGTGGGGAGGCGGTGTTCTGTTAGCTTCCAGGTGAATGCAGTATCTAACTGTTAATCCTGTTTATTGATCTATTTTTATAAGTGCTCCATGATTCTTTGAAAACAGTATACTGTGTATCTTAATTTTTGGATACAGGATGGACATACGTACTCAAACTAATAGTGTTTTTCAACATGTACTTTATTTTTTTCTCTCGACCTGACTTAGTGATAGAGGTATATTAAAGTCTTCCACTAGCATGGTGGGTTAACAAATTCTTTCTGTAATTCTGTCATTTTTGCTTTATATAGGTTTATGTGTAATGTAACTAGGTGTGTAGAGGTTTACATATTTTCTTATGAATTTATTTATTTTCAGTAGGGGCCATACCTTTTCATACCAAAGAATTGTAACATTAAAATATATTAACAAAAAGAGATCAAACATCTCACTATCCTATAGACCAGGTACTCTTCCAAAGTGCCTTATGAACATTAACTGCATACTCACTATAGGCTTGCAAAGTATGTGCTATTACTATCTCCAACTTACAGATGGGAAAACTGGCATGGAATGTTTAGGTTGCTTGCCTGAGTTCACCAGCTAGCAAGTGGTAGAGCACAGATTGGAATCCAGACAGTTCATGCTCATAACCACTAGCCTGTTTATTGAATACATTCCATGTGGCTAAGCACTGTTTGAGATATCATGTCTACAGCAGTGAATGAAACTCAAGTTTTGCCATTGAGGCATTTACATCCTAATGAGGAGGGGTGAATTATAGAAAAATCAACAATATGGCTGGCTGCTGTGACTCACGCCTGTAATTCCAATACTTTGGGAGGCTGAGGCGGGCAGATCATGAGGTCAGCAGTTTGAGACCAGCCTGACAAACATGGTGAAACCCCATCTCCAGTAAAAACACAAAAAAATTAGCCAGGCATGGTGGCGCACGCCTGTAATCTCAGCTAATTAGCTATTCAGGAGGCCGAGGCAGGAGAATCATTTGAACCTCGGAGGTGGAGGTTGCAGTTATCCAAGATCACGCCAATGTACTCCAGCCTGGGTGACAGAGCGAGACTCTGTCTAAAAAACAGAAAAAAATCTGGCCGGGCGCGGTGGCTCAAGCCTGTAATCCCAGCACTTTGGGAGGCCAAGACGGGCGGATCACAAGGTCAGGAGATCAAGACCATCCTGGCTAACACGGTGAAACCCCGTCTCTACTAAAAAAATACAAAAAACTAGCCGCGCGAGGTGGTGGGCGCCTGTAGTCCCAGCTACTCGGGAGGCTGAGGCAGGAGAATGGCGTAAACCCGGGAGGCGGAGCTTGCAGTGAGCTGAGATCTGGCCACTGCACTCCAGCCTGGGCAACACTCCGTCTCAAAAAAAAAAAAAACAAAAATAAAAACAATATTCGTGTTATGCAGAAACATAAAGCACTGTGGGAGAGTTATGGAGGGCGGGGACTTGCTGTTTTACATAGCATAGGAAGGGAAAGGCTCCCAGTTAAGGAACATTTGAGGAGAGACTTGAGTAGGAGCTTGAGTCATGTGAATTTCTGTGGCAAGAGCACCGTTGGCACGCAAAGACCCACAGCACAGAGGCCAGTATGACTCAGGTAAAACAGGGATTCAGGGATTAGAGGGTAATCAGAGATGCAGATCCTGATCTTGTGGGGGTTTATAGGTCATTGTTAGGACTTTTCCTTACATGTTCAGGAAGTTGGAATATCAGAGTCCCAGCAGGAAACAGTTGACACACACGTCAACTGGGCTGATTCAAGTGCAGTTTCGATCAAGGGACAGAATTGTGAACAGGATGTAGAGAAACTGACAAAAGTACTTGAAATGGAACATCGGTCTTCTCCCCACCTCAGACACGGGTGCTTCTGGTTCTCCAGCCTTCAGACTCAGACTCGCTACTTAACACCGTCGGCCCTCCTGTTCTCAAGCCTTTAGACTTCACACTGGGGTTTGCACTGTTGACTCCCTGCTTTCAGGTCTTTGAGCTTGGACTGGAGCTAGACTACCAGCTTTCTTGGTTCTCCAGCTTCCAAACAAATGGCAGATCAGTGGACACCCATAAGCCTGAAGGGACAAAGGAAGGGAACAACTGAACGTTGTTGTTCAAGCGAGGAGAGGGCCGCATTCCAGGAGCTGACAGGAGGTCAGTGAGGGGCAGCATCCAGCCTCGAGTTCTGCAAGGAATAGGGCCGGCCGGGCACAGTGGCTCACACCTATAATCCTGGCACTTGGGGAGGCCGAGGCGGGTGGATCACTTGAGATCAGGACTTCAAGACCAGCCTGGCCAACATGATGAATGAAACCCATTTTCTACTGAAAATACAAAAATTAGCCGGGTGTGGTGGCACGTGCTTGTAGTCCCAGCTACTCAGGAGGCTGAGGCAGAACTGCTTGAACCCCGGAGGTGGAAGTTGCAATGAGCCGAGATCATGCCATGGTCCAGCCTGGGTGACAGAGTGAGGCTCCATGTCAAAAAAAAAAAAAAAAGAAATAGCCAGGGCCAGCCCTCCTTGTCCTTCATTCTTCTGATATCATATTTGGGTTCCCCATTTGCCAAACTCAACCAAAAGCCAGTAAGGTAAGGGATTTCGTTGATTCTGTTCATAGTAACTAATCATCCCGTGCACAGCAGGGTAGAGGAGGTGGATCTGCTGCGGCGAATGGAAGATATCCTGTATTGGTCACTCCTTTTGCTTCTCAGAATCTACTCATGCCCATCACCTGGATGGAAAGTTCATATCCAAGCCCAGGAATTCCATCAGTTGCTCTGCTGCCCTGGGGTGCTGTCCATGCATTGATATTCCCCGCTGAAGCCTAACATAGTTGCCAACACCATTTCCTGTATAGGATGAGGGATAGAGCCACTGGGGAGGAAAGCACAAGAAATAATTAACCTGGCTGGGCACGGTGACTCACCCTTGTAATCTCAGCACTTTGGGAAGCCGAGGTGGGCAGATCACAAGGTCAGGAGTTGAAGACCAGCCTGGCCGAGATGGTGAAACCCCATCTCTACTAAAAGTACAAAAATTAGCCAGGCACAGTGGCGGGTGCCTGTAATCCCAGCTACTCAGGAGGCTGAGGCAGAAGAATCGCTCGAACCCAGGAGGCGGAGGTTGCAGTGAGCCAAGATCGCACCACTGCACTCTAGCCTGGGTGACAGAGCAAGACTCCATCTCAAAAAAAAAAAAGTAGTAACCTAAAGGACCTGGTTCCCAGAGGGGAACACTTCCACCAAGAGACACAGTAAGAGTCTCATCAGATGTTCAACTGACTTCTATGAGACCAGCACACAAGGAAAGAAGTCACCATACTGGCTTAGGTAATTAATGCTGTCATCCATTAGAATCTGAGGCTGCCGTTATCTGATGAGTGCAGGGAGAAAACATTTGACATTCAGGGAATCCACTGGGATGTCTCTTGCTGTTGTTTCCCCAGTTTTAAAGATAAAAAAATTTCACCAGCTATATCTTGAGAAGGGCATGGTGAAGACCCCGTAGGCATGAGGATCTGGAGACGCTCTCCAGGTAAGCCGCCTAGACCAGCAGGATCTAGGTGAGAAGGAAATCTAGAATTTTCACCCTAGTCAAGGGTGAAGGGACATTAGAAGGTGCAAGTAAAGGAGTGTGATAAGCATCAATTGCATCTCTGAGACTTGTTCAGGTGGAAAGGGCTGTCTACAATTTGTCCACTGATCTTCCTCTTGTCAGTTTCTCCAGGCAATGGGACCAGCCTTGATCCTGAGGGCGCGGTGGCTCACGCCTGTAATCCTAGCACTTTGGGAAGCCGAGGTGGGCGGATCACGAAGTCAGGAGTTCAAGACCAGCCTGACAAATATGGTGAAACCCTGTCTCTACTAAAAATACAAAAAGTAGCCGGGCGTGGTGACATGCGTCTGTAGTCCCAGCTACTCAGGAGACTGAGGCAGGAGAATCACTTGAATCTGGGAGGCAGAGGTTGCAGTGAGCCAAGATCACACCACTGCACTCGAGCCTGGGTGACACAGCAAGATTCCGTCTCAAAAAAAAAAAAGGAACTCCGGTAAATGCCACCTTTCCTACCCAATACCACTGCAACGTGCATCCCTTGTCTTTCCAAGACTCTTAAGTATCCCCAGCAATGACACCCAAAACAAGCAATGGTCAGAATCTCAACAGGCAGCCCCCAGATTCTACAATGTAAGTGCCAAACTCATACCCCAGAAAACTATCTCTTCCCATTATCCCAAAGTAAGAGTTGATAGAAGCATCAGCAAGCAACACCCTTAACATAAATGAGGAAGGGAGCCCAGAATGCAAATCCCCTGTCTCCCCCAACATGAGTTGACTGCCCCTGTGGTGACCCCTCCTTTATCCCAAACACAAGGAATAATCATAACCTCAGCAGGCAACTCTTGCAGCCTCCCCTTGCAATATGAATATCTCTACGCTCACAATATAGATAGACAGAGCCCTAGCAAGCCAAGTATTCCCTGCTAGGGGAATGTTGGGTACTCCAGTCTCAGAACATGGAAGACAACGGTAGTCCCGACAAGCTGGCAAATACTCTAAGCTCCCATAATACAGGAGGTGGTATAGCCCAGCAAGCAAACCTTCCAACATTTCCTGCACCCAGCAGACCCTTATCGGCTGCATTCCCAGTTGACTCTCAGAGCATCTCCTGCTCGCTCACTAGAAGCAAAGAAAGACCGGAGCTGGGGGTGAGGCTGAGAAGTAGAGAAAGGGGAGAAGGGTAAAAGAAAGAGAAGAGGGGGAAAGGAGACCTTCCAAGTTATTCTAAAACCGGCCATGAATTCCAGATGCCTCAAACAGCTACAATCAGATCAGGCACTCCAGCACAAAAAAAAGAGATTCCGGGCTGATGAAAAGAGGTGGTCTAGAGGAAAGGTGGGTGTGTTGGCTGGCCTTCAGGATGCTTACCAAAGACTCTTGCCACCTGACATTCCTGTCCTGTGTACCCCACCTCCAATATTGAATCATACATGACCCATACGATCAATACAGCACTACTGCATGTGACATCTGAGGCTAGGTCATAAGACACACTGAAGCTTCCTCCTTGGTCTCTTCTATTGCTCTTTCTCTAGGGGAAGCCATTCGCCATGCCGTGAGGAGACTCAAGCAGCCCCGTAACCAGTAACCAACTCACCAGCACCACATTGCTAGCCAGGGGATGGGCCACCTTAGAAGATCTTCCAGCCCCAAATTTTTAACTCTATTAATGATACGTAAGCTATCTGCAACCTACTTCAAAATGCATTAAAAAAGATGAATTGGTGGATGGCACAGAGATGTATATGACAAAGTAGAGCAAAATGTTACTGATGAATGTTCCTGTACATTTTTTCAAAAATTATTTCCATGCTTGAACATTGCTCATAATTTGTTATTATTCGAGAACTCCTACGAAGCAGTAAGAGAAAGACCAAGAGTTAAATCAGAGAAAGGAGCAAGTGCTAAGAACACTTCACAGAAATCCAAGTGGCTCTCCTAAGAAAAATGGGAAGTAAAACATTGAGATTACCTTTTTCATGGATCAGGAAGTTTTTTTCTTTTAAAAAGATAACAGATTGGCCAGGATGTGGAGACACTGGCACCTCCATATAATAATGACGGGAACTCAAATTAGTGCAACCTCCCCGGACTAAGACGAGGACCCAACCAGACCTAGTGTCACGCCGAGGCCAGGATGCCATGTGGAGAGGCGGAAAGAGCCGAACTGAAGCAGCGAAATCGGAGAAAACCGAGGCCGGGCGCAGAAAGCCGAACTGAACGAACCGAGTCGAGGAGCGGCGGGGAATCCAAGGCTGGGCGAGGGGAGCCAAAGACCGGGGGTGGGAGCCGAGGTCGGCCGAGAGGAACCGGAAGAGCCAAGGCCAATGGGAGGAGCTGAGGCCAGGCGGGAGGAGCCGCGCCGGGCCCAAAAGCGGCGGGAAGGGCGGCGGAGAAGCAGAGCAAAACCAGGCGTGGACGGAGGGGAAGTTTCAGGTCGGAGACAGCGAGGAACAGACGACGCCAAGGTGGGACGCGAAGCGAGGACTGGCGGGAAAGCCGAGGCTGGGCGGAAAGAGCCGAAACCAGGCGCGGAGAGAGCCGAAGCCAGGCGCGGAGGGAGCCGAAGCCGGGCGGGAGGATCCGAACTGGGCCGAAAAGCGGCGTCACCGGCGCCAAGGGAGGGAGGTCGCGGGGCAGAGACGGCTAAGGGAGGGCAGCACCTCGGGCGAGGGCGGGAGCGAGAGCCGAGCTAGGCAGAAACAGCGGAAGCCGGGAGCTAGTGGGTGTTTCGGGGCGGGCGAACCGAGGCAGGGCCCTGGAAACCGAGGTCCAGAGCGGGTCGAAGAGGGTAAATGAGGCTGGGTAGGAGGATCCGAGGACGCGTGGGAGGAGCTGAAGCCGAGTGGGAGTAGCCAATGGCGAGTGGGAGGAGCTGAGGCCAAGTGGGAGGAGCTGAGCGGGCGAAAAACGCTGAAGTTGAGCCGGGGCCCATTTTCTTGGGAGCAGGGGAAGGGGCTGTGGATGGTTAAGCCCGAAGCTGTCAACATGGCCAGAGTCACCTGCAGGGCCTCAAAATGCCTCTGCAAAAATTATAACAGTGAGAAAATTATGATAGTGAAAGACACCTGACCTAACCGACTCCATCTCGCCTTTAACCTCCAAATTCTCCTCGGTCATTCCTAGGTGTGGGCCAAGCTAACCTTGTGAGAAATTTAGTTATAGTTTAAATAATAAAAACCTTTCCTAAAACTAAACCGCCTTATAAAACTAAGAGACCACCAAGTTAGGATTAGGAGCGGGGCCCGAATTCCGCTAAGATGTAGACTTCGTTAAGGATTACCAGCCCTTGCTCAGGTGATCACAAGATTTGTAACCCCTCCAATTACTCCTGTAAATAACATCACTATTGTAGATTGACCTTTTGAGATGTCATTTAAGACTTTTGGGCCAGGCATGGTGGCTCATGCCTGTAATTCCAGCACTTTGGGAGGCCGAGGCGGGTGGATCACCCGAGGTCAGGAGTTCGAGACCAGCCTGGCCAACATGGTGAAACCCTGTCTCTACTAAAAATACAAAATTAGCCAGGCGTGGTGATGCACGCCTGTAATCCCAGCTACTCAAGAGGTTGAGGCACGAGAATTGCTTGAACCTGGGAGGCGGACGTTGCAGTGAGCCGAGATTGTGCCACTGCGCTTCAGCCTGGGCAACAGCAAGAGAGTGTTGGGGAGTAAGGGTACCCGAAGTCTGGTGGCGACAAAAGATTGAGAAGAGACAAGAGTAAAAGTGGGGAGCCAGGGGGCCAGATGCGAGGTAGGAGGCTGCAAAAGGCTCAGAGCTCTGGTCTCCACACTATTTATTGAGTATAATCACTTAGATCTAAGAAGCAGATGTTCAAGGCAAAACAGTGAAAGGGAGGCAGTGCCTCATAGGCGTAATCTATAGCAATAGCGCTTTAAATGAATCTCCTTTGTGCTCAAACAGCATGTCTTTAACTTATCGGAGAGAGCTAGTGGGAGCGGCTTTGCCAGGAGCCCGCAGGTCTGTCCACATTCCAGTGTTTCAAAGGAGTGTCTTTCTCCTTGAACACAGTGTTTACAGGTAAGAGCGCGGGTCTCGCTCTGAGCATGGGAATGTGATGGCAACTAGGAGGCATTCCTCCTCACAGGCCTTTTGTGGCTTTCCACAACTCATTGTCCCATACTTTTATGGCCAGTTTATAGAGGCACCCCACAAGCCTTTTCCCAACATGCCCTTTTCCCAACAGAGACTCTGTCTAAATAAATAAATAAATAAATAAATAAATAAAGACTTTTGCATTTCAGATGACTGGATGATTCCTGTGGCTCCCCACCCAGAAACAAAGTCAGCGCACAAGGACTGTTTATTTCTACGTGTCCTGGACCAATTAGCAGCACCTGTTCCCTGCCCCGCCCACCAAACTATCTTTTAAAAACCCTAGCCTCCAAATTTTCAGGTTTCCCATTTAACCGACTGTGCGTGTTTTTTGTTTGTTTGTTTTGGTTTTTTGAGATGGAGTCTCGCTCTGTCGTCCAGGCTGGAGTGCAGTGGCACGATCCCGGCTCACTGCCAGCTCCGCCTCCCGGATTCACGTCATTCGCCTGCCTCAGCCTCCCAAGTAGCTGGGATTACAGGCGTCCGCCACCGCCCGGCTAATTTTTTGTGTTTTTAGTAGAGACGGGTTTTCACCGTGTTAGCCAGGATGGTCTCGATCTTCTGACCTCGTGATCCGCCCACCTCGGCCTCCCAAAGTGCTGGGATTACAGACCTGAGCCACCGTGCCCGGCCACTGTGCATGTTTTGAATTCTTTCTCTATTGCCATTCTCCTACCTTGATAAATCAGCTCTATATTGATGAGCAAAATGAACTTCTCCAGTGGTTTCAGGTCCTCCTGCCCTCCTGGTCCTGTTGCTCTGGGCCTGCCACCATCCCCTGCGAGGGCTGCTCCATCGGCAACAGCTGCATGTTCTCTGCCCCCAATGAATGCTCATTGGTGATATTTGCATAGCAACACCCCGTCGGCCTGGCAGACACTTTCTCTGAACTGCGCTGAGAACCTCTGGCCCCTCACCTGCTTATCCTCACACCGGAATCCTGTTTTGGTGTTTGCTTTTTGGAGGACTTGCCTGATAACACTGTTTTGCGAATGAGGAAACTGAGACGTGAAGGCACAGAGGGGTTAAGTAACTTACCTAAGGTTACACAGCTGGTAAGGGATTTAAATGGGATTAAAATGGGTACTCCAGAATGAGTACCCCTAACCATTGCGCTATGAGCAAAAGAGAGAATGAGAGAACCAAATCAAGATCCAAAAGAATGTCCTTATCTTGATTTTGTGGTCTCCCTGGTGTCTTTTGTTGCCCAGGCTGGAGTGCAGCGGTGCCATCTCAGCTCACTGCAACCTCCGCCTCCTGGATCCAAGCGATTCTCCTGCCTCAGCCTCCTGAGTAGCTGGGGTTACAGGCACGCACCACCATGCCTGGCTAATTTTTGTATTTTTTAGTAGAGCCATGCCTGGCTGATTTTTGTATTTTTTAGTAGAGACAGGGTTTCACCATCTTGGCCAGGCTGGTCTCGAACTCCCGACCTCAGGTGATCTGCCTGCCTCGCCCTCCCAAAGTGCTGGGATTATAGGCATGAGCCACCGCGCCCGGCCTCTCTGGCCTGTTTGAATGAGGAGTTTCTAATACTTTCGTCGGTTTTTCCGATGGCTGGCACATCTAGAGTGCCTTTCTTTTTTATTTCAAAATATGCCCTGAAGATGGCAGTATTGCACCACCCTAAACCCACAAACCAAAATGGTTTCTCTTCCATTTAACTCAGGGTAAGAATTTGTGTTTTGTAGCCAGTGTGAAAGGAAAATAAATCTCCCTCCAAAATCACTAAGCCAAAGGGAAAAGTCAACTTGGGAACTGCGTGGGACAAACGTGCCTTCCATACTATTCCTAAATAAGATAGCTACAAAGATTAAAAAAAAAAAGAAAAAAAGCTACACAGCCCCCTCACAACTTGCCCACGAGGAAATTCCTTGTGGACAAAGGACAGGCAGAACTCATGGTCATCCCTCTCTCCTATTGACTTCCTCTCTCCTACTGTTTCCCTTTTTTTTTTTTTTTTTTTTTTTTTTGATTGAGTCTCACTCTGTCACCCAGGCTGGAGTGCAATGGCACGATCTCGGTTCACTGCAACCTCTGCCTCCCAGGTTCAAGCAGTTCTCCTGCCTCAGCCTCCCGAGTAGCTGGGACTACAGGCATGCAACATCATGCTGGGCTAATTTTTGTGTTTTTGTAGAGACGGGGTTTCACCATGTTGGCCAGGCTGGTCTCGAACTCCTGACCTCAAGTGATTTGCCCACCTCAGCTTCCCAATGTGCTGGGATTACAGGCATGAGCCATCGCACCTGAACTCTCCTATTGTTTCACAAAGCCAGACTAAGGCCTAAGTGACTATTCCTGTAAATTGTGCATTCAGTGAAAGGCTAATGAGAAACTCAGAAGAGGCTGGGTGCAGTGGCTCATGCCTGTAATCCCAGCACTTTTGGGAGGCTGAGGCAGGAGGAGCACCTGAGGTCAGGAGTTTGAGACCAGCCTGGCCAACATGATGAAACCTTGTCTCTACTAAAAATACAAAAAATTAGCTGGGTGTGGTAGCGGGCACCTGTAATCCCAGCTACTCCAGAGGCTGAGGCAGGAGAATTGCTTGAACCTGGGAGGCGGAGGTTGCAGTGAGCGGAGATCATGCCACTGCACTCCTGCCTGGGCAACAAAGTGAAACTCTGTCTCAATAAAAAAAAAAGAAAAGAAAAGAAAAAGAAAGGCTGGGTGTGGTGGCTCACACCTGTAATCCCAGCACTTTGGGAGGCTGAGGTGGGCAAATCACCTGAGGTCAGGAGTTCAAGACTAGCCTGGCCAACCTGATGAGACCCCATCTCTACTAAAAATACAAAAAATTAGCTGGGCGTGGTGGTGGGCACCTGTAATCCCAGCTACTCGGGGGACCGAGGGAGGAGAATCTCTTGAACCTGGGAGGCGGAGGTTGCAGTGAGCCGAGATTGTGCCATTGCACTCCAGCCTGGGCGACAGAACAAGACTCTGTCTCAAAGAAAAAAAAAAAAAAGAAAGAAAAAGAAAAATTCAAAAGAATGCAACCATTTACCTACGACTTGGAGGTCCCCCTCTCCACTTTGAGTTGTCCCACCTTTTTGGATGGAACCAATGTACATCTTATATATATTGATAGATGGCTCGTGTCTCCCTAAAATGTACAAAACTAAACTGTGCCCTGACCATCTTGGGCACGTCATGAGGACCTCCTGAGGCTATGTCAGAGGCACGTCGTTAACCTTGGCACAATAAACTTTCTAAATTCACTGAGGCCTATCTCGGATATTTGGAGTTCACACCGGCAGACACTGATTCTTCTTAGGGTACAGGATGGCTTACAAGAGAGGAGTTTCTTTCTCTTTCAACTACATGCCATCTAACCAGAGGTCCCCAACCCAGAGCTACAAAATGCCAAAGAAAATTCTCCCCTGTATACCCTGTGTATCGAGATGGTATACCAGAATATTCATGGAAACTTACAAAATAGCGACAAAACAAAAGCAAAACAATGGGAAAACTCTGTGTAGACATCAATATGAGGGATGTAGACACATCCCTCATATTGCTTCTGACAACAGGGGGTCCTAATAGACATGAGGCGCCTAAAAGGAAACTGGGATCCTAGTGCGATGTCAGCTCGCCTTGAAAACTGGTTACAGGCTATTGGATTTAAAGGGACGCAGTTACCTTCCGGGCTGGTTTGGTTGTTCACAACACACACAACACGGTAAAACTTAGAAACTGTAGCACATCTTGGTGCTAAACAGCATAATAGTCTCCTTTTCAGTCCTCAGTGGATTCAAGCTCATTTCCAAATGATTGCCCTGATGTCCGTCTTCTGAAAACAATAATCACCAATTAGGTGAATCAA